GGTCTACGTGGGTTAACGGGAATATTTTTTTACTTTTTTTTTTTTTCTTTCCTGAGATAGGGTCTCACTGTGTAGCCCAGCAATCTTCCTGTCTCAGTATCCTTAATGTTGGGATTACAGGAATTCACAACCACACTTAGCTAAACGGGATATTTTACATTATCTTTTTTTTTTTTTTTTTTTTTTTTGAAACAGTGTCTTGCTATGTAGTCCAGGCTTTTCTTGAAACCGCTATGTAGGCCAGACTGGCCTCAATCTCACAGTGATCCTCCTGCCTCAGCCTCCCTAGTGCTGGGATCACAAGTGTGTGCCACCACAGCTGGTAGTTTTGGGTTTTAAACCCTTTAGTCACTGTACTTTGGCTTTTGAGATACTATATAGTGGGTTTTTTTTTTAAATTTTATTATTTATTTTTATTTTAACATTTAGTGTGTGTGTGTGTGTGTGTGTGTGTGTGTGGCCAGCTCAGCCCACCAGCGGGTGCGGCTGGCTGGCATGTGGTTCTGGGGGATTGAACCGCGGTCCCCGTGCTTTGCCAAGCTTGTTCCAAGTAGGTGCTTTAGACCACTGAGCCATCTCTCCAGCCCCTATATAGTGGTTTGTTGTTTTTTTTTTCTTTTTTTGTCTTACTTACATAGTCCAGGTTGGTCACAATCCTACTTCCTCAGCCTCCCAGAATGCTGGGATTACAGGCATGTGCCACCATACTTGGCTGTACTCACTGAATTCTTATATCCCATTTATTCCCAGTCTTAACAGGGAAAGGGACCCAGTACACTATTCATATGAAAGTAATTCACTGTGACAAAGGAACTTTTTGTTTTCTTTATCTCTGTGCAGGCCAGGCTAGCCTCAAACTGGCAGTGATCCTCCTGCCTCAACCTCCCACATGCTAGGATTACAGGAATGTGCCACCATGCCAGATGACAAAAGAACTTTAGGTAGCCAGATATAGCTCAGCAGTGCAGTGCCTGCCCGGCAAGCACAAAAACAAAACAAAACAAAAAAATACCCTTTAATGTCAGATGCATTTATACTTTTTGTCTCAAGTATCTATGGCTCTGATTTGTAAGCTTGTTCAATCAAATCAAAGGGTAGTTGATACCCTTTCACCGCAGTACACCCCAAGAGCTGGAAGTCAGGAGAGCAGGCAAACAAGGAACAGAAAAAACTGTCACTAGAGATGGAAAGCTGGCTCCCAGCCTCTTACAAACCGTCCTCCGAGGCAGCATGCCATCACTTCAGTTCTGACACATATTTCCTGGGTAGGTACTTAGGGCCCAAAATTTCTTAGATGAACGCTCTTCACTATTGTTCTCACTCTTATATCCTTTATCAGCAGGACTCTGGCTGTCTGGGCTACTCTGACCCTGAGCTCCGAGAGCCTATTTCACACAGAAGGGCTGGTGTCCTATGTGAGAAGCATTTGATCTTAACTGGTTCCCCTCTTCTACACAGGCTAGACATGGTGGTGTCTCACTGTAACAGGGATGGTCTTTTTTGACACATCTGGAAGAAGTAAGCTAAGCAAGTTAATAGTTAATACCGTTTGAGGAGGGAAATGAGAGGCTAGGGTCTCTTCAGATCAGTAAAACTCAAACAAATAAAAGGCCAGGTACATCCACACAGGTTCTAGAAGTACTTCTCTGTGCAACACAATTACATAGTGTGTATGTGGAAGGCATCCACAAGACATACTTAAAAATGGATGGGCTAGGTTCCTGAATGCTTTTTAAAACTCAGAACCACTCTCCTGATTAAAGATAGGTACAAACTTTTTTAAAACTTAAATATGAATGAGTTTTCTCTAGCTGTACTGTGTGATTTGGGTCTGATGCGTCACTGTGGTGATTTTAGTTCTCTTATTACCTGTCCACCTAATTTCCTAAAGTCAGGTTGACTTACTAACTGGGATTTTGTTGTTAATGATGAATGCCATCGGTCATTCCCCTTTTCCTGCTAACTACGGAACACTTCAATGACTGCGTGCTTAACTGAGTTCAGATTGTAAGAAAGAATGAACAAGAAAAGGATGGACACTGGAATCCAAAAGGTAACCTGTAAATAGTTCCTGTTAATTGGCCCCCAGAGATTCTTTATTGTCCTTATTTTTTATTTATTTTTTATTGATAGGGATTGAACCCAGCTCCTTGCACTGCCAAGGCAAGAGGTCTACTATGCTACACACTTACCCTTTAGTCTTTGTCTTGGAGTAGAGTCTTTACAGGGCCAGGGATCTGTTTCTAGCCCCACCACTGGGAGAGAAGGTAGAAACCTTTAGTGTTACTTTGCAATTAAAATTTTCCT